ATCTTACGATTTGATTGGCTGAACAGCATGTGACAATACATGAACTTCGTGTAACATTGGACGGTTCCCCCTGTTCCTAAAGAATTAGGTGCAATTGGAATGTTTACTTCAGAAGATTTAATCACGTGCGCGTTACTTTTCGTAACGCAGATCACTTTTTGGCATTCATCCGTATCAGCAGACTGTTTGGGAAAACTATTTATAATACCCTGAATTTGAACGTCGCTTAGACATGAAATAGCATACGTGCTATAGCTAATTCGTTTGATCTTATCTATCCCTATCCCTGTGAATAGCGTGTAAATTTTTTTGGCTCTGAAGGTTTTCTGATGTAAGTTTACATCAGTAATGTTGGGAAGAAGTTTTATTTTATTATACACCAATGTTCTCGCTGATTGGTCATCGATATTTTTAATAGCTTTACAGTCTTCAACCCGGTCCTTATATGTTTTATAGAAACAATACCAGCATAGATTCTCCTTTTGCCCGACCTTTATTGCCACATTAAATAAATCAGCTATACTTTGCATTGCAATTTTATTAGATCCCATTAAAATCGTCTCAAGAGGGAATTTAGGAATTTGAATATCAAATGAGCTATGTTTTTCGATATCATCATCTTTGGTAAAAACGGATAGTTCATATCTCAAACCTTGCTCCACTTTCTGATTGTATGGAATTTTTGTTTTTTTTCATCACATAGTGACCAAGAATTACTATCATCAGAGACAACATTCGCTGAGTGCTCCACACTTATTTCATTCTGTTTTTCTTTCTCTATCCCATGCGAATTGTAAATGCTTGATTCTTCGAGTGTTGAGCTTTCCTCTTCAGAAGATGTTGGAGACATTAGTTCTTGAGTTCGAAGTTTCTTTTCCCTATTCCTCTCTCTCATCAGATTACTAACCATTTTCTTGTTTTCCGAATCCAAGAAAGAATCTATCTCCTTTTCTTCCAATGATTTTGGATATCTTTTGCAAGGTTGAGGTAAACTGACAGGTGACACCTCTGGTATCGGTTCTTCGGGAACAAAATCATCTATTTCCTTATCTGATAACTTTGCTACCCCTTCTATTGATTTGGTGTCGGCATTATTTTGTTGGTTCACTACGGAGTTGGATAAATCAACAGTTGATACCGAATTATCTATAGATAACCACACCTCTGCTATCACTTCCTTACCATTTTGTGTCTGACCATCCACAACAAAGGAAGCCTGTTCCACTATCGCAAGTCTAGCTTCAAGCTCTGTGTTCTTTTGTTCTAGTTCCTTGACTCTGGCATCACGCATCGCATTCTCCTCAATAATTTGCTTCAACTTCGCATTCTCAGCCTCAACCTCAGCAAATTTCTTTTCAAGTTCAGAAATCTTATCATTTTCCTTTCTAAGCTTGGCAATCTCAGTTAAGAGTTTAGCATTTAATTCTCTTAATGAATCAATGGTGTGAATATTTTCCATCGCTCTCATAGAGCGCAGGTATATTCAAATTTCAAATTAATAAAAATAACGTGCGCGTTACTTTTCGTAACGCAGATCATTTTTGACAAGAAAAAAATTTTTTATTAATACATGCGAAAAATAAATACAAATGTTCGGGACTAGCCCGTGATACATATTATTTTTTGATATACATCGATATCAATACGATAAAATAAATTCGCGAAATATATATGCAAAAGTAAACTAATTATTTATGAGAAATTGAGCCACCAGGGCAAGCTTTATTAATATCGATATAAAAAAGTACACAAAACATTTCCATTAAAGAGATATGTAGACATCGTACGTATAACCAAACTGCATGCAAAGTTTGCATATCATACTGATTGCTTTATTACTGCGTAATGCAGAAATACAGTTGTCAAAAATAAGTTATTATTATAAATGATGACACCTATTCTAGATCCTATCTAGAGCGATAATCCTCTATCCGTGCTTTCTTTTTCGCACCAGACTTATCTACACACGCCCTATCTTTCAACATACCCACAACCAC